GTTAACTAAATTACTCTTATTGAATTATTTTATAAAATATATGAAAATAAATAATTTTGTCAAATAATTGAAAAGGACACTATTTGAAGATGCCCCTCTCGTACAAAAAATACTCCTAAAGTTTTAATTTAATGCAAATAGAACCCTCTGATAAATTTAAACCCTAAATTGACTATATTACCCTTACTGAACCATTTTATAAAATATGTAAAAATAAATAATTTTAAAAAATTATTGAAAATAATACCATTGGAGTACGTCGCAATGGACAAGTAAAGATAAAAATGTAAAATAAAAATAAAAATATAAAAGAAAAGTAAAGATAAAAATAAAAAATAAAGTGCAAATTAAAGAAAACAAAATTTTCCAAACTCCGAAAACCAGTTGCACTAATATTGGGATTTTTTTTATATATATTTTTTAACAGTGTTGGTACGAAAAAAAAAATAAAGAAGAAAAAAAATTTAGTAGAAAAGAGTAAACTGAAATCCCAAAAAATTCAAATCTTTATTCTATAAATTCTCAAAGTTAAAAAAAATATATATATTTAGAGATATATATAGAGAAAAAAGTTTCAATATAATGTGCACATAATACCCCTATACTATGAGATTAGTAACATATATACCCCCTTAGGTATTTTAGGAAGAGTAAAAGGGCAAAACGGATATTACAACACTAATTTATGTCAGATAGTGTATTTTTGCACAATGTGAAAAGATTAAGGGTATTTTTTATATATTTTTTAAAATAGAGAATAAAAATACTATGCAAAATATATTTTAAGAGTGTTTTCTGCACTTATTCCTAAATTGAGGTGTGTAATGGAATTTAGAAACCAAAATATATTTTCTTAACAAATTGAAATGAAAATTTCTGAATAGATAATATAAGTTGTTGTTGCACTACCATCTCTTCAACGTCTTCCTTGAAAAGACCCCTAAATTGGGCCAACGTCTTCATTTACTTAAATGAAGGTTGCTTTCAAGAGAGTGGTTGCTTAATTAGTTCATTCACTCACTCCAGACTCGAATGAAGGCTTTGTATGTTTTGATACTAAAAAGTTTTCTCCCTCTCACATAATCCCTCTGTCACTCTACATTCTCTCTCCCTAAGAGAGAGGGGTCCCATGGCCTTGCGGAAATTAAAGGGCCCAAACGGGACAATCTTGGAAGGCTTCTAGAAATTTAAAGCGGATTGCAGGGTGTGACAGTATTATTCGAGTGATAAATGATTAAGTTTTAAGTGTCTCTCGTGAACTCACAATAGACACGTAACAGTCCAAAATTTGAATTTGGCCAGCAGTTATAAGGGCGCACATAATAAAACCCAAAAACTGCTTTTTATGTTTTTCTTTCATTGAAATAATAGCCATTAGGTATTATTTGAAATATTTTTATTAGATGAGCAAATGAGTGTTTATATAAAATAAAAAATATATACATTAGAAACATAGTCATTGAGAAAAAGAAAAAAAATAAAAAATTTAAAAATTATTAAAATATTAGAGAGTATTATTTTTGTTGAGCAAAAGTACACCATTGTAGTGCCTTTGCTACCTAAAATTTGGAAAGTCTAAAATTTTGATATCACATTGAAAACATTGACATGACTTTTCAAAATGATGACGTGATAATTAAATCTGGAGACTCAAAATTTAGAGAGTTGATTGAAAATGCTCTTAGACCGGAGTTCATAAAAGATGCTCTAGCTTAGAGTTATTTTGTAACAACTAAAGCAACTCAAGTAAAAGCTTGTTCGGGAATGTTGTTGAATCACTTTAAAATTTTGCTTTTTGTTACCTATTAAAACAGAAAAAGGATATTATTATTATTATTATTTTGATAAACTCAAATATTTTTGTGATTGAGAAAACAATATTTTTGTGAACTCATCCATCGAAGTCTCGAAAAATAAGGTGACGCCATGAAAAAAGTCAAACTAGTAATTAGGGTGCCACGGAAGATAGCTCAAGGTTGAGGCCAGCCCAGCTCAAGTCCCTTGGGCCAGACCCTCGCCTATCAATTCGAGGCTTAGCCAACCCAGCCAAACATTAATTCAAGTGGCATCCTCTCATACCTGGTGTGTGGGCACGATGGTGAGTGTGTACCTACTTATATATATATATATATATATATATATAGGTTTATGGCAAATAATCTCCTTGATCGATTCATGTTCGAGCAAGATGGTCCTCTAATCTATTATTTTGACAATTAACACCTTACATTATTATCTTATGATATTGTTCGTTTTGGCTCAAAACCGCACGATTTTATTCTTGTACTTTTTATCCCAAAATATCGTATATCAATTAGAAATAACACCACCACATATAAACACTTTCCCGGCGATGTGGGATTGTGCATCAGTATCTCACCCATGTCTTGCACCCGACTATAAGGTCGTCACGTACAATCACTCCCCATTGGGCTCAACGTCCTTGTTGGCCACACTTTCGGCTGGGTCAAGCTCTGATATCATTTATAACAACCCACTTCACCGCATGATATGATATTGTTCGCTTTAAATCCGAGCCCATACGATTTTATTTTTGAACTATATATATATATATATATATATTGCAAACAATCTCCTTTGATCTATTCATTTTCGAAGAAGATGGTCCTCTAAACTATTATTTTGACAATTAACACCTTAGACTATCCTGCTTGTTACAAAAGCACCCCACCGTCAATCTATCTATCCATATGTATATATATTTGCACCTATTTGTAAAGGTCTCAGAGGAATTTTTACCATGAACCCCCTTTAAGTTGCTTTTCTATCCGTTGGGTGGGAAATGGCTTTTTCTTTAGTTATCTTTTCTCACGGAGTGTGACTGACTTCTTCTTTAGTAGCATAGTTGGCCTTCAAAGTGTTTTTGGAACTTCAATTCATTGTAATATCCTACATTTTGTAATAAAATTCAAGCTTATATATATATATATACTTACATTTTTTTTTTTTAACCCTGACAATAAGAAAAACAGGCATACGACATCTACAAAAAGCACCATAAATGGTCGTACAAGGACAAACAAATCATGAAACAATAGAATAAAATGAAAGACCGAACTCCAGATTTGCTGAGAAATAATGCACCAGCAGAAACCACCAAGGGAGAAAGTAACAACGAGAGTGACTCATAGGTCAGCCTATCGTCAAGGCAACTGCTACAAGGTTGCATCCACAAGGCGCCATTGACGGGAAAGAAACCCCCAAACCCCGCACAAGAGACATGGACAACAAAACCCACACAGAGACAGGGACCACAAGACCTGACATAGATCGGAGATATAGCCAGAAAACAAAAAGAAGACCTACCCCGTCAAGGCAGAAACAAGCCTAAGAGGAGTAGATTTACCAAAAAAAAAAAAAAAACAGAGATAAAAACTCACCTACCGAGCAACTATGTACAACATGCTGAGTTATTTACGCAGTAAGAGGTGAGGATTGGCACCTCCCCACCCCCACGGGAGGGGGTGGGGAGCAAAACAGACTGAGAGAACCGCCGGGGGCGGGGGGGGGGGGGGGGGGGTTGTTTATATGTGTACTTACACATAACACGTGTGTGTATTATAATTTAACATATCACTACAAATTAATACTAATAATTTTATTCAAGCTACAAGCCATATGAATGAGATATAGGTATTGGCACTAACAAGGTGCTCCAATCAACATTTATTTACTATTAAAGAAGGCATCAATGCGAATAATTAATAAAGCAGCACTTATAAGGTTAATAAGTAAAAAAAAAAAAATAATTAATTAATTAAAAAAATTAATTATTACTTAGCAAGCTTTATTGATATTACTATTTAAATTTGTGTTTTAGCCATCGCCAAAAATAATAATAAAGTACATCCATTATATCAAAATAGAAAGTTAAGTTCAAATACAAAGAGTCCATGACCCAAAAAAAAAAAAAAAAAAACAAAAAAACAAAAACCAGAAAACACAAAAATAAAAAACAAAAACAAAAAATTCTGTCTCAACCCAACTTGCAGAATTTATTTTTACATGTGCGCTGTTATAAGTTAGTTAAGGGTAGATAGCAAAGTGACATTTAATTAAAAACACCTAGCTGCATATTTAGGTTGCTTCCACTTTAGTATATCTAAAGACTATTATCATTTTGGCTAGCCTTTTTAGCCCTCCGGTTTTAAAAATATTTTTCTATAATTTCTTTATGCTTAATTCTGTAGAAAGGGGAAAAAAAAAAAAAAAAAAATCTTAACCTCTTTTTATTCGATTGAATAGAAGAGAAGAACTTAAGTTTAAATTATTTTTGCTGTTATACCATTATTATCTATAATTTTATAATTTATGAAATATTGTAATTTAAAATAGTTATAATAACCTTACTTTATCTCCCTCACAGTGATGAAAATATGTGAATAATAAAGAATGACCCATCAATTATTATCCTTTTATTTCCTTGTCACGACTTTTAGCTTAAATTTGTCTTCCTTGCTATCAAACCATGAAGGAAGCATTAATTAATAGTGATAGCGAAGCATTAATTAATGGTGATAAAGGAATAGGAGGATTTCTAGAAAAAAAAAAATAGTAAATACGTGTGAACACTATTTCCTTTAATTAATTAGGTTAATAGTGTGAACACTATTTTATTTAATTAATTAGGTTAGAGGGATGGATGGCATTTCTAGAACCAAAGAATAGTAGTGAATACGTGTGGAAATGTAATAAGAGTGTGACTCGTGTGAACCTCGCACGTGTTACGTGTGAACCAAGAAAAGAAATATCCCCCGACTCATTGAAATGAAATTGATGCGTGCCTCTCAAAGGTCCCCATTTCTCCAACACCAACACTGGCGGGTACGCTTTCTTTACCCAATTCAATCCCTTTTCCTTTTTCCTTTTCCTTTTCTAAGCGCGTAATTACTCTCTCTCTCTATACATATATAATATATATATATATCTATTGATTTATATATTCTATTGAGATTATATATATATATAAGTATAGGTACCATGTATCTTTCGTTTTCCAAGCATCCACAGATTCACTGGACTCTGGAGGCTAGCTATTTCCTCAACCACTTGCATCTATATATCCTCAAACTAACCCCACACTTTTGGCCATTTTAACCAAACACACACACACATACAAATACTCTCTCTCTCTCTCTCTCTCTCAAAACCCGAAGCCACAGGATCACCACTTTCTTTCTCTCTCTCTCTCTCTAAATTGCACAACAGAGCTGCGAGTGTCCTTTACGACTTGCATACCTCCAAATGCAGTCGAGTTCAGTTCTATCGCTCTCACCCAGCTTCAATAGCTATTCCTCGTGCAATTTGGCCGAGATTGCTGCCAGAGTTGTTGAAGAATTCAGAGCTGAATCGGAGTCAGCAGAGATTGATGATGATGTGTTTGGCTTCAAAAACGAAGAATCGTTTGAGGATAAGCAACCAATCATTATTCAAGACGAAGAAGTGGAGAAGAAGAAGAACGAAGAAGACGACAACGATGAGTTTGAGTTCGCTTTTGTTTGCAGAGAGCCTAATTCGTCTCCGATTTCGGCCGACGATATCTTCTACAACGGTCAGATCCGACCTGTTTTCCCGATCTTCAACAGAGATTTGCTGTTAGGTCATGCCGGAAATGAAAACTCTGTTCCTCCTAAGCCTCCTCGGCTTCCTCTCAGGAAGCTTTTCATCCAAGAGCGTGAGACTCCGTCGTGTTCGTCGTCGGAATCCGACGAGCTGGACCGGATTCCGCCGGGAACGTACTGCGTCTGGAAGCCGAAGGCGGCGGGGGCGGAGTCGCCGGGAAAATGCAAGAAAAGCAACTCGACGGGATCATCGAAGCGGTGGAAATTCCGAGACCTCCTTCACCGGAGCAACAGCGAAGGCAAGGACACCTTCGTCTTTCTGACTCCGTCGAATTCGAATGGAAAGAAGAGAGGCGAGAAGGTTGAGAAATTGACGGAGGCGGCATTGAAATTGGCCGGAGAACTGAAGGCGAATGGAGTTGCCGCCGACGGCGGTGTGTCGCCGGCGGTGCACTACGCGAGGAACAGAACGTTGAAGGACGGAGATCGACGGCGGTCGTTCCTTCCGTACAGGCAAGATATAATAGGGTTCTTTGCTAACGTGAACGGATTGAGCAGGAATATCCATCCCTTCTAAGACACTTGATTTAAATTTCTGATTGGGTATATGTTTTTTTGGGTTAGGGTTTTAATTAATATATGTATGAGTTACGATGCGTTTGATAGTGTTGTTTGTTATTACTTCTGTAAATATTACTAGTATTTGGAACAATTTGCATATTTTGGTGAAATGAAACTGCTTACTTTAGAAGGAAATATATAGTAGTGTGTGTGTATATCTATATATATATATATATAGATATTATTTGAGGTATGTGAAGGATATGGTTGTGTAGCTCCAAAGTTATTTGGAACTTACATCTTGGATAATTTTTAGTTGGGTGCTCAGTGCATCATATCGGATTTATTCGAATCTTATGTATACAATTATCACATTTACATGCAATGCTTACTTACGGAATGGATGAGACGACACACAAACTATTCTTAACACATGAAAATGGAATCTGTGGTGGGTTCCACAGCTGCTTTACCAGGAATTGGACCGACGGAGTACGGCAATACAAAGGCGATAGAGGACAACTCTTCAAATCAATGCCGAGGTGAATGCATTTTGATACCAATGTGAACTTAATTCTTATTGATTTTGCCTTCCCAATATATATATATAATATTCCAACTGTGTAGGTGAATGAGGGTGTAATTTTTATTAAATTTTCGAATACTATTAACCTAATTACGAATTCTAAGTCATTGTTGTTATTAAAGGGTTTAGAATTATACTTTTTATTGAATAAATGAATATAAATAGATTTATTCATAAAATAAACTAAAATTCCGTATTAATATGTGAGAATTAAAAAAACATAATAAATAAATAAAATTTTAAAATTAAAATAAATGAAAAATATAACACAAGCAAAAATTACCAAGAAAATTATGAATCATAACATGTAAAACATATCACAAAAAGTTCCATTTATAAGTGAGCATTAAAAAGACTGAAGAACAAGAACATGAAAAAAATATACTTTAAAAGTGCTTCCAGAGAAGTTTATTTGTCAAAGATTGATAAATTATTTACATTATGGGTTTTCATATTAGTTGATTATATAGTATTTAATGTTTCCGTGTACTAAAGAATTATAAGGCTTATATCTGTAAATTGATATACAAACTAATTAAAATGTTTATTTATTTATTTTTTATTTTATTATTTATTTATTTATTTATTTTTATCAAAGATAAACACAAACCAAACGGCACCTACAAGACACAAAGCAAACTAAACACAAACCACAGCACCAAACCAACAAGGTGAAGTGAAGCGAAGGAAAACAACTTTTCTAAGATTCATTTGGTTTGCATGAAAATTTTAAAAAAAGTTATGGAAAGTCTGATTTCATAATTTGGATAATATGAATGAATAATACAATACTACAATGAGGGTTTATATAGGATATGTCGCATGAGTAGGTGAGTGAAGAACAAGTAAATCCTATACTATACATGGTAATGATGGGTAGGTGAAGATGGCTACTGAATACAAAAACTAACCCAAGCATAAAATATAATCCAACAGCTCCTCTCAAAGTCAAAGAAGGTTATATGAAGCCATCCTGGCTTTGGAGATAAGATCGCGAAAGCGGCCTGGCGGAAACAATTTGGTGAAAATATCTACGATCTCATCATGAGAAGTAATGAACCACAACTGTAAAGTCTTTTGAAAAAGGTGATGACGAACAAGATGATTGTGATGATCGTGTCATCTTTTTTTTTTTTTTTTTTTTTTTTTTTTTTTTTTTCAAGTTAATTTTTTTTATTTATTAATATTATTTATTATTTTATTTCATCTTTGGGTTTTGTGGGCCCAAGACAAGATCAAGTGTTCGGGAATGGGTCCCGACACTTCATTCATTCATCATTATATATTCTACCCTCGTGACATTACAGAATTGCATAGCACTTGTTCATTTTAATTTATATTTTGTGGGGGTATTTATGCGATTATGTTGTGGGGACATTTTCATTTTTTAGTGTCTTTGTGCGAATATCTTTTGAAGATATTTTATTTTGGGAAATTAGTGCGATTACCATTTGAAAATATTTCTTGGAGGGATCTTTGTGCAATTAAGGAAAAGTTATGACAAATGTCTCATTTTTATTGGACCATGTGTGAAGAGGGGATTGGTGACATGTGTAGGGCTTAGATGATGCCAAGTGTGTGGTTGGATGTGTGTTTTGTGTGGAGGGTTGAGATTGTGACAAGTGGAGGGTTTAGATGTTAGTGTGTGAGAGAGGTAGTGCTAGGGTATGTGAAGTTGGTTTATATCATCACTTTTATGCCCTTTTTCCTTTAATCTTCTTCTTCTTCCTTATTACTTTCTCTCTACCACCATTGTTGCTTCACCTTATACTTTCATTTCTTCCACTTTCCACTCACTTTTTGGACACACCATGTAAGGGTAAAAGCTTGGGGACTCTATTGGCAACAAAACCCTTTTCTTGGATTTGGCTTTGGACATTTTTTTCTTGGATTCTCCAAGTTGCTCTCTTAGAGTGAGGTTGGGGTGTAGTATGGTTTTAACCTAGCATATTCTTTATGCTTTGGGGTGTTGTGTATGTTATATATATATATATATATATATATATATATATATATATATATATATATATATATATATATAGTTAGTGTGAGTTGTGAGGGTTTTTAAAGCATGATTGTTATTGGCTTAGGCTTTAATGATGTTATTAATCATGCCATGGATTTTTCATTTGTTTTAGATACTCACATGATGCATATATGTATGATATTTCTTGAAAAATCATGTTAACTTTGTGTGGAATTCATGTAGTTAGTCTACTTGAGGTTAATGTTTAAGTTATATGTTTTTAATGCCTATATTGTTAGTAGTATAGGTTTTACTTTGTACATGTAGGCATATAATCTTGTTGTTTAGTTAAGGTATCCTATATTGTGATTTTAGTGATCTTATTAATTAATAACTGATTTTATGATTCTTTGTGCCTTTTGTGTTCTATATGGTTAGTGAATTGTCCATATGAGTAGTTGAACTATCAATGGTTATGTATTGTTATCTTGGATGTCATTGCATTGATAAGTGTGCCTTTGTTTAGCTCTACGTTTTGAATGCTCACATGACATATAAGTATAGGTTATTGTTGAGAATGTTATCTTATATTGCCAAGGGACACATGTGTTAGTTTCCTTGAATATAATATTTAGACTTATATTATTTCGGTACTTATATGTTTAGTGAAGTAAGCCTTATTTTGACAACATGGTTATAGCATCATTTGATTTGTTGTTATGAAATAAAATGAAGGAAATGCTTCACTAGTGATATCTTGTGTTAACTATGATTAGAATTATCATATTGATGTCATTTGTATCGGAATATATGCCATGGTAGCATTCGTGACTTTAGGACATCTAATGTTTGAGCATTGAGACTTTGGTGCGCTTGTAAAGTGCTTGATATGATTATATATGTATGTAATACATTATGGATTCGTTTGAAGATTTTTGGGAGATACTTGGGACAATTGTTACTTTAATAATGTGAGAGTTTGGCTCCTCATTTGTATAGTAGCCACTTGGGTAGTTCTCTGCGGGTTTGTAGCTTGAAAAAACTATTTTATTGGGTGGTTACCTACGGTTCGATTCCGAGAATAACCAATTTTTTCATTCATGCAATGTGTGTGTTCGGGGGTGTGTGTGCGTCCAAGTTATCCCTATTATGTGATTTCGTATGTGATTTTTCAAGTTGACAATCTATGTGTAGAAGTAACTTTGGGTATATTGGTTTCAAAGTATTGGTTGATATTTTGGTTTCAAGGCATTGTTTTGTATTCATTTTCGTGATTGTCGTAATTCGATTTAATTGCTAGTTCTAATTGGTTGCCTTAGAATCTCCATTACAATAGACTTTAGGAGGCATGTCCCATATATTTATGGCATATGCTTTATTTGCGGAGCCAAAAAATCTAGTTTATTTCCATAATGCACTTTCCTACGGAGTAATTTAAATTACTCACTCATGTTGATAAAATATTTTTCAGATACAGGCATGCTTTACTTGGTTTCACCTCCGACTTAGCTTAAATGGGTTGATTTCTATTCTTGGATATGTTTTGGCAATGTTTACATGCTAAGTGTTAAACATGCTTTGATGTATTTCTTTTGTTTTTCCATTTGAGTCACCTTATATATAGGACAACTTCTATGTATAATGTACTCTCTATGTGTTGATGTAATTCCTTTTAAGCATTTTGATTTCGGGGTATAATTGATGTAATGTAGTGTGGCCAAGGGCCACTTTCTTTCAATGTACGTTTAAAGTATCATTTTGTATCTTAATATATGTTTGAGATTCCTTATTCACTTTGATGTGTTTTCATTCCATTCCATGTTTCAATTGCACTTGGGATTGGCTTTGGAGGCCTTAGGAATCATTTTAGAGCAAAGGGGTTAAAGTACCAAAAAAATTGGATTTTGCATGTTTGGTCTCGGGTACTATTCACCACAACTATTAGTTTTGGGCGACTAGTCACACCCTCATTCATAACACCGTTGAGCATTTCAAACAGTCATATCTCATTCGTTTTAACTCCAAATTGGGTCGTTCTTGAGTCTAAACAAAATGATATTTCTAATAGTACCAGTCCCACTCCAATATTCCATACATATAGAGATTTTTGCACATTTTAGTGAGGACTAGTCATGTTTTTCGTATGTTGTAAATGCTAGTTTGTTTCAAAACCATTCCTTTCGGGATTAGAACTTCATGGGAGGTTCCATTATGTTTTGTATGACCTATGTTGACCCATTAGATACTTAACTTGGGTCAGTTTAGCCACGGTCATGCTATTTGACCATTTTACCCTTTACTCCTGTATTGTGATTAGTTGGGCCCCTTTTGTTTCTAGTCTCCGTATTGGCTTTGAGTTGAGTCTTGTGACTTAATAGGTGGTTCTATTTTTGTCCTAGAAGTGGTGGTTACTTCTAGTGACCTCTTTATTTTATTTCGCTTCGACATTTGGGACTCGATATCGGGTCAGGTTTTCGAGTGTCTCGTTGATGCATAGAATCACGGGATACGGAGCGTCACAACGTGGTTTCAGAGCGTTCGGGTTCAAACGCCATGGACAACGGGTTTTGGGTTTTTTTCATGCTTCATATTGACATAATATTCTATGCGCGTAAGTGCTTATGTGTTTCTGGCTTTATGCAT